CAAGGCCTTTAGATGCCACATCCTGACTCAGCTCTTGATGAAAAGAAGAAGAGGAGGGGTGGATAAAGAATTGAGACAGGACAGGGAGCGGGTGATGGGGGTAGTGGTGTTTGCTTTGAAATGCTGCACAGGCCAATTTGGCTGGGTAAGTAATGAGCACATCAATCTGGTTAGACAGAACTCTCATCTTACCATCAGGGTCTGAGAGAACGGAGATGAATGCCACCTGAATCTCCCTTAAATGTGACTGTAGGAGCAAAAGAAAAATACACTTTACATGACAACAAAAGTGATCTGACATACACACAGACTTTGGTTGCAAATTCACAAATTTGTATGTGGATACTTTTGAAATCCCTCATCCCATAAATGTTATGTAGAAGCACCAACTGGTTCATTTATAAATTGAAACAAAATGCCACCTTGAAGCATGGATGAATCTTTGACTCCAGAGGAGAAACATAGCACTGACACACACAAAACACATGAAATCATTAAACCACTTATTGATTGGGAAGCAGCTTCGGTTGTATACGCACTGTGATTTCCTTGTGTTGGCTGAGTTTCTTGACCAGGGAGAGCAGCCATATGCAGGCTGCCTGTCGGACATGGGGGTTCTGGCTGGGTATGCACTTGGACAAGATGGAGTTGAGAACCCAAGGAACCACATCATTGTTTTTCACATCTGACAGGAAAAGAGGAAAGTTGAAATGTTGTTCAAAATCAGAATCTGCCTTATTGGCCAGGTGTGTCAAGACACACAAGGAATATGACTCTGGTACATTGGCTCTCATTGTGTATGTACATATCCCCCATGCAAGGGGCAAGTAAAGGATAAAAACCTAAAAAAACAAAAAGGATTAAAACTACTACTTTAAGTTTTGTTAAGGGAGATTTGACATTAAGATGAAAATGGACTGTGATCTGTGAATGTATGTTTTGTTACACAATTTTATTTATTGTATATTTTACATATATGCCAGAACGGTCTGAAAAATCTGACCACTTAATGCTGCACTTTGGGACACCTAAATAGCCGCACGGTACTGATGGAGCACCATACATATATATCCATATTTAATGCACCACGTTGGTAGTTTGAGTCCATCCACTGACACCTGCTGCAGGTCTCCCCACTCTGTCGCCCCCATTTCCTGTTCACCTCAATTTAAATTACTCACTGTGTGGTGGAGTGTACTGGTCCTCAGTGCAGGTCCACGGGTCTCTCGCAGCTCCGGAGCTGGTACCTATTGCAGCACTAGTGATGGCCTCTCCAACTGTGAACTGCAGCTCCACCTGTTTGGCCTTCAAAGAAATAAAGTGAGGGATATTGTCACTGATGTCCTAACAGCTTCACAAAGGCTCAAGCAGATATAAATGCAAACAATATCATTTTCTCTGTGCTGGCAGAAAAGTATTCTGTCAAAGGGAATCAAGTGCAATTTTGTCTAAATATAACTTATGCTATCTAATACATCCGTTACACTGCCTGTGTAAAAGCCCTGCAATATTGTCAGCCATTTTCTTCTTGCCTCTACAGAGTCCATGAGTCCCTGCAGCAGTTTCTTCTGGTGAGGGAAGTCTCCATCTCCTACAGGTAGGTAACCCAAGGTCTGGACTGATCGGTCCTTCATCTAGACCAAATAAAAAAGACACAAGTCTTCAAATCACTTAGCTGAGGATCTGATGCATTAGTAAAACATACAGTCTGAATATGGTATGAATACAGTGTGCACTGCTGATTAACTGCTGAACAAAGTATCACAGCTGCCACTTCCTTCTGAGTCCCCGCTCACCTTTGTACTCTCCTTGCCAGAGGTAATCCGGGCCAGCAGGTTTTCCACGGATGACAGTTTGGTGAAGCCCTCTCCTTCTGCAGGGATCAGCAGGGGGCCATTCCGCCCAATTTCTCCCAAAGCTGTACAGGCTGCTGCTGCCAGCAGTGCACTACTGCTGTCCAGGAAGAGACCTGGACGGTCACCAAAATAAACATGAGTGGGTGAACCCACAGACTGAAATAATTGGGCTTGTGTGTACACACAAAATGTTTTATATTGGCATATAAAATTAAAAATGCTGTGTTAAAGGAAGGAGATTAAAAAACTCTCATGATAATCTAGGAAAAAGGCAATTTAAACATCAATTTATAGTACTCGATCAGCACCTATAAATTAAAAAAAAGGCTAAATTGCAGAAAGTTGTTGCAAAATAATTACATACCAACTGTCTTGGTGGCCATAGCAACAAGTTCATCATCTTTTTGAGAGGAGATGTTCATCGGCTGCCCTGTGTTGTGGGTAGAGTCACTAGAGGTGACAGCTTTCTTCTTGCTCATGAACCTTCCCACCATATAGCCGAGAGCCAAGATGGCGCCATGCTGAGTCTCAGGACTCTGTGGTTCAACAACAGGCATTTGGGCACGGCACTATTAAACAACTTTAAAATAAACACAATATCCAGTGTTTGACAGAGGCAAAGTAGCATACGTGGTTGTCTTTGGTGATTTTGACCAGGTTGTGAATGGCTGTGTGCAGCTCATTGCCAGTCATGGTAGAGACCACTACAGCGTACAACTGGGCTGCTAGCTCCCTCATGTCCTCTTTATTTGTGTTCATCAGACTCTGGAGAAGAAAACATCTGTTATTACACATAAATACAATGACAACTATGAAATGTGAATTAGGCTCATGGTTTTACAATATCAAGGGACAGATTATTAAGCAGTGCTGATATCTGTTTCACTTACGAATTAGCGCACAGTAAATGTTAACATAGACCATACTCACTTTAATCCAGTCAATTTTATCAACAAATCTGGAAGCCAGTTTCTCTGGGCACACAGACACTACCTCCAGTAGAGAGTACATAACTGGGATTCCTGTTGTTGAGAGATTAATGGAGTGGAATTAATACAAATTCCCTTAAAACAAATCAAACAAAAACAGACAAAACTAGACAGAACCCAGAGAATGCAAACCTCAGGGGAACTCGGTTTCCCCATAATGCCATAAAAGCAATATTCCCATGTTAGTTTGACCCTCATAATATGATAGCTTGACTATGCAAACCTACTGCTGCCATTTTGAATGACAATTACATGATTAGTGTAAAAGTTAATCAAGAAAAACAACAGATGCATGAGGTTCACTCATTGGTTTAGGGGTAAAACAGGGACTTCAGTGAGTCGACCGTGGGCAGTGAAGAGGTCACATTTCTGCAGGTTTCTGTTCTGCTTCTTCAACATCTGTTTGATAAACTGCTCATACAGTCCCTGTTACTGGCTGACTGTTGCACTGTGGAGTGATCCTTCATTTTCTCTGTTCAGCTGTGTGTGTGTGTGTGTTTGTGTGCTAGAGGAGCAGCCCCTCCCTCCTCTAGACAGAAACTGACACAGATACAAATACAGTGGAAAAGCAAAGCAGGACAGTCCACATCAACCTTTGGAGGTCATGCCGGGTGATGGTTCAGGGAAGCACGGGGGGTACCATTCATTAGATTCCAACAGTGGGAACGCAGCTAGAACACCGGCACCCTTGCCGACAGACACCTGTGCTCTGAAGGAGATGTAGCTGCCTGCTAATACAACTGGGGTGGCTGTGGCTCATGAGGTAGGGCAGTCGTCTCCTGACCAGCAAGTTGGTGGTTCGACTCCCGGTCTCCCCGCATGCCTAAGTGTCCCTGAGCAAGACACTGAACCCCGAATTGCTCCTGGTGGCTTGACTAGCGCCGGTGCATGGCAGCTTGTCGTCATCAGTGTGTGAATGTTGTGTGTGAATGGGTGAATGGTGTATCATCTCTGTAAAGCGCTTTGGCCAGTGCAACACACTGTGAGAAAGCGCTATATAAAATACAGTCCATTTACCATTTACAACTAGCTTGGTCAGATAACAAGCACTCACAACTGTGAAAACTCTGGCCACAAGGGGGCTCACATACAACAACAGCCTCTCCAGCACTCACAATGGTAAATAATCTTTTAAAACATCCCTGTATCCAACTTATGATACAGATCTACACCAAAATTTAATCAATTGTTGGGCCATACCGTTTACACCTTAAAAGGTGTAAAAGGAGGGATTCATTTCTATCTAAAAATGAAAATCACCCTAACACACCTTACCCCTCCAAAAATTTATGTTCATTAAGATTTGAGTTATGCTGTTAACAAACAAACCAACACTGGCGAAAACATCACCTCTGCCCTTGGTGAAGGTAATAAAGCATGAATTATTAAGAATCAAGCTGTTCATGCTGTGTGAAAAATGCGACACACATAGTGCTTTCTTTGGCTGTGCTCCTCATTTACTCCTGGCTGGGGCAAATCATGCCAAGTACTCCACAATAACACAATTGAAGATATGAACACAAACATCATGCTACATGCGTGATATAAAATAAACAATTGTGAAGCACCAGAAAAATGTTAGTTGTATTTAAGGCAACAATACTGACAAGCATGACATTTAGACTGTCAGTGGTTGCACCAGGGGTGACCAGGCAGATTCTATGGGTGGCCAGTGCCACCCCTGGCCACCCCTTTGGTTCCACCCATGCTTCTGCCTCATACCCGCTATCTTTTGCTTTCTCCCTCCAGACATTATGCCTGAGTCAATCATGTCTGCAACAGAAACATTGCAAAAAGCTGTTGAAAACCTATACTTCCAACTGTAACCTTCAAACTACATAGACAGAATTTTTCAAAAATAATTGAAATTGAAATCAAGTTCTTAAAAAAAACATATGGCACATATGCT